GAGTCGAAGATAAAACAGAAAACAACAGAATCAGACTAAGGACCCCGCCCCTCTGACCCCCCTTAAGTCCCTTAAAAACCAATTTATACCCCCTTTCCTCCCCCCCCCCCTGACAGCCAACGCTCCATGCTCAGAAAACCTCCACCTCCTGATCCCCCAAAGAACACAAAAAAGGGCTTATTTTTGTCTGCACGTGGTTGCCCCGTGCAGGCAATCCCCGGGCGACTTGTGCCCAGTTTGCACGCCCGTGCTGCACGGCCGGGCGAGCCAAGTAGCCTAGCCCTGAACCCTAAACCCATATACTAAATCCTCACGTTATACAGAAAAAAGAAAAGAAAAGAAAAGAAAAGAAAAAACTTCAGGTCAAAGTCCCAAGCTGAAACCCCAAAATGTCAGTGTGGTAATCGGATATGAATACCCCTCCAGAAGAAAATAATACCCCTTTGGGCATTTGAGTCATTTGACTTTGACGTACCTGGCCGCAATTTCAGCATGTTTCGAACAGAAATGGTCAGGGCCCTGAAATGTCAGTGTCGTAATCCGATTTGAATACCCCTCCAGAAAAGGGGGGGGGGGGGGGAAACCCTTTTGGCATTTTACTTTGACGTACCTGGCCACGATTTCGGCATTTTTGGAACCGAAATGGTCAGGGCTTATCGGGTTCCCACCTTTAAGACCTGACGATTTCTGTTCAAAGAATATGCCGAAATTGCGGCCAGGTATGTCAAAGTCAAATGGCCAAAGGAAATAAGAAAAACGATTAGGACATTGAAAGTTATGGAGTCTGAAAAGCCAGTCCTTTTTTTTTTGTAATGTTCTGAAAAATAATGATTAGAAAAAAAAGAAATGATGCTATAAATTATAATCCAGGCTACCAGCGGGGCCGTCCGGGTCACCATGTTTTCCCGGGCGGCCCGGCCGTGCAAGGACCAGGGAAGGTCCCAGCAAAAAAAAAAAAAAAACAAAAAAAAAACCTACATTATGAAAAATAAACTGAACAAACTATTTTTTGCTTTTTTTTTTCTTTTTTTCTGCTTTTTTTTTTTGTTTTTTCCCCTCTGAAACATGAGCTGGAGCAGCTCCTACTGCCTGCCGGGATATGAGCCCAGGCCCGCTGTAGGGCTCACTGTGTTGATGGCTCCAGTCTTATTCGTGGGGAGCAGCACGTGCTGGGAACCGGGCCCAGCATCCTCCTCGTACAGCGAGTCCTTTTGGAGGGGGGTCAAATTGGAGTAGGTCCTTTACTTCCACCTGCCATAACGTCGGGAATTTCGATTCTCGTTCTACCCATTCAAACTCGTCTTTTTTTCTTTTTTTTTTTTCGGAAAAAAAGGAAAAAAAAATTGGACCATTTCTTGAAGCGCAGGGGCCATTTGCTAATTTACCCTTCTCTGTATCGTTCCAATTTTAACGGATGTCCCAAAGGACTCGAACTGGTCTTTAGCAGGTCGAATAGCAGGTCGAATAGTTCCAATTAGTCCTGCCAACTGGAGGTACTCAGTCGGGTCGATGATGTCTGCAGCTTCAAAGGACTTGTGGCGGAATGTGCGGTATCTATCGCTGCTGCCTCAGGGTCGCATCGAAATTCTTTACCAAATTTGAAATAAAAACTAAAAATTTTAAAAATATGTTTTTTATTTTTTATTTTTATTTGGTCCGGCTGGGCATGTGGTCCCCGGCCACTCTGGTTGCGTAGGCTATAATGATATATAGCATCAATAGTAGCCACAGGCACAATCTAAACCCGACAACAACCTCGGCGATTCGCACTCTCACCGTAACACTCTGAAGAGTCTGAACCTTGTTTTTTTTTTTTTTTTTTTTCCTTTCTAACGAAGCACGCCAATTTTTTTTTTTGTTGTTGTCCTGGGAAAAAGGGTCTTGCTTTCTACAGCAACAAGCTGAAGCCCTGAAACATTTTTGTTTTCTTTTTTTCAAAGGGGAACATCCTTTTGATACCATCGTTGATCTGACCGGCCCGAGGCAATTCAGAATGATCTTATTCTTTTTTCATCTGAAGGTATCTGGATTCGAACTTGAGTCTGATTCATATTTCAATAGTCCAGGGGGGGTGTTGATGAAGCGCTAAAACCTTGCCCCGAGCCAAGCGACTGTATCTGACCAATAAGAAAGGCAAAATTCAGTTGAAGTCCGGTGTGAGTAGCCAACGCTCAAGTTCTTAAAACGCTGTGACTTTTCTGAATGTTTGTGACCAGGAAAGTCGACCAGATTCAGTTGAGAAAGAAACTCGTAGTGTGAGTAGGTCCTATACTTCCACCTGCCATAACGTCGGGAAACAGTTTTTTTTTTTTTTTTTTTTTTTTTTTTTTTTTTTTTTTTTTTTTTTTTTTTTTTTGGTGAGAATACCGACTGGAAATAATTGCACCGTTCCCGAATATGTTTTCTCCGGATTAAAAATTAAAAAAAGAAAAACGTCGGGGAAATAAAATGAAAAGCAAAATGTGTTCTTCTCTTGTTTGTCTTGTCCTGTCATTCCTTCTCTTTTTCGTTTCTTCCCCCGCCTTCCCCCCCCCCCTCTCCCTCTCCCCCCCCCTCCCTCTTTTCCAAGGGAGAACTCTGTAACTTGGTGCTGGATTTGGTTTCCTGGGGGGAGGTCCCACTAGCAAAGAAGATTGGAATTAACGCCTGAATCTGGACCTGTTTGTGGATGTGCAGAAAATTGAGACGGATCTGCTTTTTTTTCTGCATCTGTGCATAAAACCCGTCCAGATCCAGTTTTCTTGTCCAATCCATTTTGCTAGTAGGACCTCGCCCCTGGGATCTGGAGAACTAGTTTTCTTTCTTTTTACATCATATGCATCTTATGCCGGACTTCAAATTGTTATTATTATTTATTTGTAATCTGACAATCTGTATGATTTTCAAGAAAACAATTAAGACGAAAAAGATGTGGCAAATGCTGATCGTGATTCTCTGTGTCGTTGTCTGTTTGTCTGTGCTTCCACCGATCTCTTGTCTTTTTTTTTTTTTTTTTTTTTTTTTTTTTTGTAAAGACGGTTTGTCATGTTTACAGGACCTGAATTATCATTTTTGGCTGCGCGGGCAAAGCTGACGTGGAATGCACTTGTACGGTTGTACGGGCTTTTTCACTGAGTCAGGCTGTACTGGTTCAGGGGTTTTAGACCGATTTGGCCAAACCGAAATGTCTCTTCCGTGATTCTTTTTTTTTTTTTTTTTGGTTTTTGTTTTCAGTGATTCTGACAGGATAAGATTGAAGCATTTTTCCCAAAAAGGTGAACAGATGAGATTACATTAACACCTTTTTTTTTTTTTTTTTTTTTTTCGGGTTAACTGTCGTCCAATGGACGACGGTTCCGTAACACTTTTGGGGGTGGCGATTGGAGTATAAATTGACACTGGTAACCCTTTTTCTTCTCCCCCCCCCCCCCCCCCCCCCCCTCTCTCGTCTTCCCCCCTTTTATTTTCTTTGGGGTGGCTAGTCGACGAACTGACACTGATAAACACTTTGGAACGTGGCTGTTGGATAAAGTGAGACTACTAACCATTTTGTCCCATTCTTTGTCCCATTCTGTCCCATCTCTGTACCATTCTTTGTCACGTTCTTTGTCCCATTTTATCCCATGTATTGTCCCATTCATTCTGTGTTGCCCCATTATTTGTCCCATGTGTTGTCCCATTCTTTGTCCCATTCTGTCCCATGCATTCTGTGTCGCCCCATGATTTGTCCCATTCTTTGTCCTGTTCTGGGTTGTCCCATTCTTTGTCCCATTCTGTCCCATGCATTCTGTGTCGCCCCATGATTTGTCCCATTGTTTGTCCTGTTCTGTCCCATTCACTCTGTGTCCCTGTCATTCTTTGTACCCTTCTTTATTTGTACCCTTCTTTATTTGCCTATTCTCTGTTCCGTTCTTTGTTCCATTCCCCCCAGCCCCGTTGTATGTCCCATTCATTCTTTGTCCCATTCTCTGTCGCAGGCTTGCACGGATAGTGAATGGCAAGTCAGGCAATGAGTGACCGATAACTCGGGCTGCCTCCTTTTTTTGAACCACTTCCTTCTTCTCGGGTAATTTATGTCCGAATCGAGCTTTGACTGACTGATATCTACAAAAAACCTATTTATTCAATTTATCGTCAGTTCTATTCTCAATTTATCACCCTTGAACGCACCTGCCGCGCGTGGTTCGTTTATGCGCAGTGTCTGGCTTCGTCCTCTTTTCTTCTCTAATTAATTTGTTCTCGGAAATTTAACTCCGGTAGCTTTCCGTTCCGGATCCATTAATTTGCCAACTGTGCGATGCATCTGTTCGCCGTGAGATGTTCCTAAAATTGTTAATTAATTTATTTTAATTAATTAATTTAGTTTGATTAATTAATTTATTAACTCATATTGAGGGTGCAGCAAACGGATTGCTGTTGCGTTTTGGGTTGCGGCTCCTTTGCGAGTGCTTTAGCATCCAGATCCAGACCTAAGGTCCAGATCCAGATTCACGTGGACACGTGTCCTGGAAGCGCTTGTGGCTTGTGCGAGTGCTTTGTCATCCAGATGCAGGCGTAAGGTCCAGATACAAATTCAGCAGATCCCGATCCGGATCTGGATATTGCCACATTTTCACCAACATTCGGCATGCCAACAGGGCTTGTGTGATGGGATCCCGACGGCTATGAAGAGCCGCTATTCCCGACGAGCGTCTGCTTTCCGCGAGGAGGGGTCACCTATTTTTCTCTCAGACACATCATTGGGTAGCACATCACTTTGTTTGAATGTTAACCCTTCGAAAAGCCTTTCAAACAATTTCACCTGATAGAGTTACTTCGAAGGGTTTATTATTTGAGGAGGGGCCATTATTTGATGAGGGGTCATTATCCGAGGGGGGGGGTCATTATTTGAGGAGGGGTCATTATTGGGGGGGGGGGGGGGGGGGGGGGGGGGGGGAAATTATCTACTTATATCAAGGGAAACTTTTGAAGGTCTTTTTGACGAAGGGCTTAGCCTTATTCTAGAGGGCTTTTCTTTGAAGGGCTTTAGAAAGAACAAAAGGACGAGAAATGGGTCGTGCAGTGCAGGAGGACAGGCCATCTGGCACTGCCAAGGGCCACCCTTTATGGCAGAGGAAGGAAGCTGGTGCGGCAGACGGTACCCGGAGGGTGTCTGGCGTGATGACACGTGCCCAGAAGAGGAAGGCGTGCCTGGAAGAGTCCAGGAACGATGATGGTGGTTTACCTTCACGTGGTGGGGCGACGATCGCCCATCTCGCGGGAAGATGGCCAGGGTCAAACAAGGTTGCAAGGATATGTCCGCCTGACCCCAGCTCCAGACCCAGCTTTATGGAGGAGGCTGGCAATTTTGACGGCGGGGACTGTGAGGAGCACTGCTACCCCGACAAACCGGGCAGCCGACCCCAACCCGATGGAGCTTGCGAGAACCGAGGTCCCACAGCGGATGTGGGACGGCAGAAGGAAGGTCTCAGACTGCCCGCCGACAAAACGGTGAACGAACCCCGCGCTGCTGCCATGTCGGCAGCAGCTGATCGGCAGCAAGCGTGTCCTCGTCGTCGAGGACCAAGCCTTTCAGAGCCGGGAAAGAAGGGATTGGCTAATGAGCAGAGGGCAAGGGCTGCCTCCTCTTTCCCGCCGCCTTCTCGACTCGCGCCATCGAGAGATGAGTACAACTGTCGTGCCGCAGGAGCCCGAGGCGGCCCTAGATTGGCTCCAGGGTTGTCTCTGCACGATCAGATGTCCAATACGAGGAAATCAAGGAGTGATGGGGGTTGTCAAACTGGAGATGCTGATCGACGACTGAGATTGCGCTCGGATGACGCAAAGGAAGGTGCTGGAATCGGTGGCAAAGAGGGCACTAGGAAAAGCCTACGGCCGGCAAAGAGCGCACCTGTGGTAGAAGTCGGTTGTAATCCTGCGCCTAACTTGCAGGAGGTACGGCAAAGTGATGCGACCACGCAGGTGAGGATGTCTTGCATGGCTGGCGCAGCTGTCTATGGTGGGCAAAGAGATGCCACCGCGCAAGCGAGGAGGTCTGGCGTTGATGGCACAGCTGCTGGCAATGGCGGAGGTCTGAGAACAAGGCAAGGAGTATACCCACCACTGAGGGCAATGATTGGCAAATGGTCATCATCGGGTCAGCAACAGAGAGGGATCCCAACGCATGCTCAAGGCCTAGGCACCAATGCGACCGGTACTACTAATCGCCGTCCGATCGCCACAGAGTCCAAGAAGGTACAGGTTCTTCACCCGAGAGCACACACAAACTAGGAGACTTTTCTACAGAATCTGGATGCAGTTACATTCAGATACATTCATGGAAGTCCTAGTATGAGTATACCCCAAGCGGCGGGTCCTACTTGGCCATGTACTCATTTGCTGGACTACCAGTACTGAATGTGCTTAAGTGACACACAACCGAAGTACCACCCCTGCCTGTTCTCCTCGGGGCATACTCCCACTTGGACCTTTTCCACTATATTTGGTGTCAATTGCCCTTAAAGTTGGGATGTCCTGAAGGATGTCCCAAAGGATGTCCCAAAAGGATGTCCCAAAGGATGTCCCAAATGATGTCTGGAAGGGTGTCCCAAAAGGATGTCCCGAAGGATGTCCCAAAGGATGTCCGAAATGATGTCCCGGAGCATGTTCTAAAGGACGTCCTGTCCCAAAGGATGTCTGAAATGATGTCCCGAAGGATGTCCCGAACGTCGTCCCAACTTTAATGGCTGTGATGTTTCAAAGGATGCCGTAGTAGTTAGACGGAAATGCTACTTCCCATGCATTTAATGTCTCGCTGAATTCCTCCCGTCATCTCCGCCTCCATCTCGTCTGTCTGCAGCTTCACCTCCATCCCTTCTCCCTCTTCGTCTCTGTCTCCATACCTCCATCCCCACCTCCTCCAAATGCAGCTTCCCCTGTAGGAGCGAGTTACAAGCAGAAGGGCCTGCAGCACTGGGTTGGCTGCAGACATGTCTGCAGCCAACCCAGTGCTGCAGGCCCTTCTGCTTGTAACTCGCTCCTACGCCCGCACAGCTCCAATCCACTTATTCCGCCTCCATCTCTCTCCTCCTCTTCTACCTCCTCCTCCTCTCTCCTCCTCTCTCCTCCTCTTCCACCTCCTCCTCCTCTCTCCTTCGCCCCGTCCTCCATCTCCATCTCCATCTCCTCTCTCTGCAGCTTCAACTTTGCTCCAGGTCCTTTCTGATTGAGTAAGTCTCTCCTATGTCTGCACAGCTTGTATCCACCCATCCCTCCTCCTCCATCTCTCCTCCGCCTCTCCTGCATCTCTCCTCCATCTCTCCTTCAGCTCTCCTGCGTCTCTGCGCCATCTCTCATTCTCGTCCTCCTACGTCACGTTCAGCTTCTTCATCTCTCCTCCATCTCTCCTCCTTCTCGCCTCCATCTCCTCTCCTTTGCCTCCGTTTCTCGTTCCCGTCCTCCTTCACGTTCAGCTCCTTTTCTCCCTTTCTGCTTACAGATCCAGCCTCGCTTCATGCTTTGCCTCCACCTCTACTCCAGCTTCTCTCCTATTTCGTCGTTGTGGTCTCCCTCCTCATGTTCCTCCTCTCTATCCACCTCCTCTGCTTTGCCGCCATGCCCATCCTTCTCCTTACACCTTCTGCCTCCAGATCTTGCTTGGGACTCTTGTGCTCTCTGTCGGCGCACCGTTAGAAGCATCTTTCTCTTTTGTGGGACTATTTTCTATGTTGCCTGTATACTTGACTGCTCCAATGCATCTGTCTAAATGTACATAGACTTCAAGACTGTCAGGTGCATGACTTGTCGCCTAAGGCCACGTCCTGCAGGTGTGCAGCCCGACAGAATATAGAGGGTGTGTTCTCTCTCAGAAACATCTGGGAACATAAGCATGGAGGCATCACATTAAATAAAGTAATTTACTAATTTGAAATTTCTCGTTTCCTCCCTCCCCCCCCCCCCCCCCCCCCCCCCCCCCCCCCCCCCCCCCCCGAACATGCCTGCTGTCAGAGTGTACTTGAAATCCTAGACCACCGAATAACAAATAATCTAATAGTGTATGAAATATAATAATATGATATTAATATCATAATATAAGAATAAATAATAATCGCATATCATATATAATAATGATCTGGGCTACAAACTGGGTTGCCCGGGCGGCCCCTGACGGGGCAACGATTAAGGTCCCTGCAAAAAAAAAAAAAAAATATCTGGAAAAAATCTTATGTTCAGCGAAAAAGTACACTGAACAACTTTTCCCTCAGAGTCGCATCAAAAATCCTGACCAAATTAGAAATAAGAAATAAAAAATGACTTTCGGGCCTGGCTTGGCAGGTGGTCCCTGGCGACTCCGGTACCCTAGATAATAATATATAATGTAATAAAATAATAATAATAATAATACTATAATGAAAATAAAATTGTGACTCCGTTTGTTTGAAAAATTGCATTGCCTGGTTCTATATTGCAGGGTCATGGCGTATATGATGAGGACATTTTTCAAAATCTTCTTCTGAGGGAGAAGGGTAGGCGTTGTCCCGGTTACCTCGGTACTTCACAGCCAGATATTCACTCAGGCCATCGGAAAGTGCTCGTGAATTGGCTAGTCGAGGTCTGTCGTTCGGATACCTCTCTTTTTTATGCCACCATTTTTCTTGCAATTTTCCCCAGTTAAATTTCACCTTTGAATTTCTTTCTATCAAATTTTATGCCTCTTCATCACCTTTGCCCCCCGGACCCCCGCCCTACGTTCGAAACGTTGTTCGTGAGTGCATTTTGTCTTTCTTTGTTTACTTTTTCGTCCTCCTTTTCTTTTTTTTCTTCCGTTTCCTCGATGTTCATTATCGCCAGTTCTTTCGTCTCTGTCTGCTCACTCTCCACCAATTGCACAGGATGTGTATCTTTAGCTTGCAATTTTAAGAAGGGCGGTTTCAATTCTATACTTAGAAAATTTCCCATTTGTACTCTCTTTATGCATTCTCTCTCTGTATCTCGCAGTGTCGATTTCAATTCTCTCTCTCTCTCTCTCTCTCTCTCTCTCTCTCTCTCTCTCTCTCTCTCTCTCTC